AATTGTTATCAATTCTGCCATAATTTTTCAGGCTAAACAGAACTTTTATTTGAATGTTATAGTGAAGACCCTTTAAAGAATTTATTTGCAGATCTCGATGAAGTTCATGTGGATGTACTCATATAGTCAGCAGACACTGAAAAAAACATGAGCATCAACTGTACAGCTCTAATTTTGACTTATTTTCCAAATTCCATGACATTCTGCTCTATAAATTCTGTTTTAATGACTGGATAATACAATTCATTCTGTGTTTTCTAAACTACGAAAATCAAGGCCCTTATAATCATGTAACTCAGATGTAATGCCAATTCAGATGTACTTTTTTATGACCATTAATTAGGTAACAACAACTCTTTGAGTGCATTCAGAATTAACACATTGAAACCAACCATTAGAAATTCCTTTGTGTTTATTTATAGGACGAGTCCATTTAAAGAGCACTGCTTGTACTGTAGTTAAAAATGTTAGGCACCCAGCAGACACATCTACAACATTTCAATGCTCAGACATTTCAATGGAAACACTCTAAGTGAGCCCAGTGGCTCTGAGGTGCATTCAGGCACATGAGAATGACTCTGTGCCAGTCCACCAGCTGCACAACCTCACACTGAGCATCTGCATGTACCTGTTTAATGTGAGTAATTACAGCCAGCTGTTTCTCAGTTATGTACAGAAATATTACAGCAATTTCATTTTATTAACAAGCTCCTTTTTGACTTGACTTTAAAGAAATTAAGTAGAGCGGCACCTCTAAGAACAGTCAATTTCTAGTAATCATTCCCTTACTCTGTGATGGTCGAAAGGAAAAGGTTTAGCACATTCTGTTTGGTCCATTGTTAAGAAAAAGGGATTATTTTATATATTTCTGTTTAAACCACATTCAGTGCCTGTCACAGCAGTCTTTCATTGTGGTTTGAATGTTTTTTTTTTATTATTTGAAATTTTTCTTTCTTTTTTTCCCTGTCAAACAGTATCCTAAAAAGCTCAACATGACACAGTGGGTATTTGTTTCTGCTTCACAGGATAATTATATTGAATAAGATTCCAATAGAAGGGAAGATGTGTTCAATCTGAAGGATAATGAAAACATCACAGGAAGCAAGTCTACATCAGAATATCAATTCACAAGATTTAGAGAGAGAAAGAAACCTGACAGTCATTTTGCTCCCCCTCAGTACAACACAAATTTTGGCTAAAATAAGCAGTGAAAAGTAATTCTGTTATTCTATTCAGTTTAAGTAATCTAGTTTCTACAGTGTTCACACAAAAAAAATCATTCCAAATGAGCCAGTTTTGTTAAGTGAAGTGGATTTTTACAGATATCCCATTCACAGTAGTGTAGAGAGCAGTGAACACTGCACAAGATCATGTGAATCGGAACATAGTTAGTGTTTTCTGTTTTCTGTCTGGCTGCTATGTCCAGTGGTCCTGGTCATTCCTCATTTATTTGTTTTGTGACTGACATCCCATGCTGCATTAGTTTCTGTTAGCTATCCACAGTAGGATCTTCATCAAAAAATTATGCTCTTTGTTTTCCTTAAGCTGATTGTCATAGAATTCTTGTACATTAGTATGAGATGTGTTTCTTATGAGAGAATCAAGCAAGTGCTTAAGTAATTACCGCTAATGTTATTCACTGCCATTTAAATGAGCTGTGGTGCTGGAATATGAATTGTGCCATTCATAGAGCGAAGACAGGAGCCTAATATTTATTCATGCTCGTCCTCTGAAAGTTTTGGCTCTATAAATGTATACAGAGCAGCTCGGATTATTCATTTCAACTCGTGTTTCATTCCCTGTCAACCTAGGTGCAATTTAGCTGATGACACACTAGAAAATTCAACTCATGTCCAACCATTTGTACATTACCCAAATGTTGTTTTTAAAAATGCAATGTACAATTATTCTTCTAGTAGTCTTGTAATGTCTTCAGCAGTGCCAGATGAGGAAACAACCAACTTTTCCGAATAATATTGGCCTTCGTCTGAAGCTTTGCTGATATTTCAATCTACAAGCGATTTTTACTGCTTTGATTCTTGTTTTTCCAGTTCAAATGTTGTGGGGGAACCGACTTCACGGACTGGCAGGTGAACATGTATCATAACTGCTCTGCTCCTGGTCCTCTAGCGTGTGCGGTGCCTTACACCTGTTGTCCGAGCAAGGTTTGTCTATGAATATGTTTTCATGTCAACCTACAGTTTACAGTGTCAACTTATACACACATGCACACACCGCTCATTATGTTATGTTTGCTGTTTAACACTACTCTTACAACAAGTCCCTAGTGAAAAATAAAAAATACCCTGCAATTGTACTTTTAGTATACTAAACTGGTATACTTGAAGTCTGCTAAATTAGAACAACCAATTTTGCACTTAATGCACTTTAATTGTGCAGAAGTAGTTCTGAAGTTCAACTAAAGATATACTAAAGTATATTTGATTGTGCTAAAGTGGAACATTTGCAAGCACACTTCATGGAACACTTAAAATATCTTGCATTTAAAGACTGATATTATTCAAAGTTCATACAATCCTCATCAATAGGGACATTAAAACACATTTTAGGCTTAAAATTAAGAAATGTGCACAAGTAGTACTCTAAATAAAGTTTAATTATAATTTTTATATCAGTAAGTCTCGAGCAATATGTCAGTAAATATGTTAATAGTTTTGAACTATACTTAGTATGAAATAAATGTATTTTAAATATATTACTTTTTTACTAGGGATATTATGCACAAAAAAGGGTTATGCAGAAAAAGGTACTGTAAAACTGTAAAGCTATACACACATGCACACACCGCTCATTATGTTATGTTTGCTGTTTAACACTACTCTTACAACAAGACCCTAGTGAAAAATAAAAAATACCCTGCAATTGTACTTTTAGTATACTAAACTGGTATACTGGAAGTCTGCTAAATTAGAACTACCAATTTTGCACTTAATGCACTTTAATTGTGCAGAAGTAGTTCTGAAGTTCAACTAAAGATATACTAAAGTATATTTGATTGTGCTAAAGTGGAACATTTGCAAGCACACTTCATGGAACACTTAAAATATCTTGCATTTAAAGACTGATATTATTCAAAGTTCATACAATCCTCATCAATAGGGACATTAAAACACATTTTAGGCTTAAAATTAAGAAATGTGCACAAGTAGTACTCTAAATAAAGTTTAATTATAATTTTTATATCAGTAAGTCTCGAGCAATATGTCAGTAAATATGTTAATAGTTTTGAACTATACTTAGTATGAAATAAATGTATTTTAAATATATTACTTTTTTACGAGAGGAGTCACATTTATATGACTCTAGTTTGTCATAAAGCACATGCACAATACCATTTTCATTGGAGTCAGTAAGGTTTTATTGGAGCCAATAAGGGTTTTTGTTTGTTTGTTTGTTTGTTTTTAAAGAAATTAATGCTTTAATTCAAAAGCAAAAACACATTAAATTGATCAACAATGACATTAAAGACTTCTTACATTGTTACAAAAGATTTTAAATAAATGCTGTTGTTTTGGACTTTGTGTTCATCAAAGAACCCTTAAAAATGTAATCACAGTTTCCACAAAAATATTAAACCGCACAAATGTTTTCATGAGCAAATTCAAATCAGTATATTAGAATGATTTCTGAAGGATCATGTGACACTGAAGACTGGAGTAATGATGCTGAAAATTCAGCTTTGCCATCACAGGAATAAATTACACTTTAAAATATGTTCAAAACAACAACAAAAAGCTGATATTTTAAATTCTAATAATATCTTCCAATATTACAGACACATCTTTCAAAAAAATTAAAATCTGGTGTGCACATTAGATCAAATAGTCAAATTAATGTGTCTGAAGCTGCAGTCATGAATTCATTTGGTGTCCTGTTAACACAGAACGTTAACTCATGTTATTGCAGAGTCCTCTTATCTCCAGGATCTTTTTGAAAATGTTTCATAAACAAATATTGCTGTATGTCTGTAAACTTTGGCATAGTCGTTGCTGTCGGCTGTCGAATAACCTACATAAATAAACCTTCTGTTAACGAAATATAATCCTAGCATTTTTAAGTGTAGTTTAAGTGTTAGCGCTTAAATTGAATGGAAGCAAATACTTAAATTCTAAATTTAGATCAGCCCTGGTTCACTTGACGGGAAACAAAAGCATTTATTTCTTTTGTGAGTCTTTCAGGAGGTTACTGTTTGCTCACTTGAAAGGAGATCTAAAGGGAGAAATGTGGGCAGATGGAAAGCATTAAAAAAGGTCATTTTGTGTTTCTCAGCATTCCCCATTTTGTTTTGTCCCATTTAAGCTCTGCTCATATCTAGGCGCCCCCTCACAAATAACTGGCACATTCCAAATTTTACAGGTGCAAAAACAATGGCACTACATCCAGTGAACTGGGAAAGATTTAAGTGTTAGCGCTTAAATTGAATGGAAGCAAATACTTAAATTCTAAATTTAGATCAGCCCTGGTTCACTTGACGGGAAACAAAAGCATTTATTTCTTTTGTGAGTCTTTCAAGAGGTTACTGTTTGCTCACTTGAAAGGAGATCTAAAGGGAGAAATGTGGGCAGATGGAAAGCATAAAAAAAAGGTCATTTTGTGTTTCTCAGCATTCCCCATTTTGTTTTGTCCCATTTAAGCTCTGCTCATATCTGCTTTCAGTTTCACAAATAACTGGCACATTCCAAATTTTACAGGTGCAAAAACAATGGCACTACATCCAGTGAACTGGGAAAGAACTTTGTCCACACATCATACTTTTGAAATGATGCATGAAGTGTTTTTCTGCTCAGGTTTTCCAGTTTTTATAATACCCAGTTGCTTTGCTTTACTTTTGTTCGTTTATGGAAAACGTTGAGCTCATAATGATCCTATGTTATCTGGATCATTCCTGTGTTGTGTACATTTGAAATCTATAACTGCTGAAAGTGAATATTATTGTGTTATATTTTAAGAAGTATGTCTATAAATGGGTACTAGACTTTCGAAAATATGCTCTGATGAAGCATTGATTGATAGCTTGATGATTTACACAATGGCAATAGCATGAACAAGCTGTCTAACAGGATGGAAATAAAGAGCTAGAGCTAGCCATTGCCCAGTGAGGGGCTGAGAGTTCGTTTACATGAGTATCAATTTAGGCTGGAATATTTGTGCTGCTTTTGTCGTGCCAAAAATGATATCACTTCCTGGTGGAAGGGACCTGGCTTTTGTTAAATCATAGTTCACCTAAAAATGTTGATAATTCTGTCATAATTTACTCATCCTCGTGTCATTTTAAACCTGTGTGACCTGTTCTGGAACACAAAAGGAGATCATTTGATAATGCGGCAAACAACATTAGCTCTCATTCACTTTCATTGTATAGAAAAAAATCTAAATATATTTTTTGTGTTCCCCAAATCTGAAATGTCTTATAAAGTCCATTATATGACATATGATGGGGACGTGAAAATGTGCTGCTTAACAGGAATTGACCCATCTGCAAGTCTGGAAGTGTCTGGAAGATATTGTTACACCATGTGCTGATAAAGACGGAAGCTATTTTTGTTAGTTTCTTGCGCATTTATTTTCTTGTCATTCTCAACACAAGCCAGAGCATTCGTAACAAGACCCAGCTTGAAATTACATTTATCTGAATATTAAAAGAGCCCATTTTTGGAGTTGCATAGGACAGTTAAAAAATAGGTCCTCTAAAGTGCGATACTAAAGCAGGTCTTACAGTCAAAAAGGACATTCATTTTTCATTAGTTTTGGAAAAAGCACAGAGCTTGTTTGCCGACGTCCAGCTGTGTGCAGATTACCTATGGACAAGCATTACCTCATCACTACTTCAGTCTAAGACAAAGCAATGCTGCTGTCTATATATGAAGATTACATCAGAAAGTTTTGTCTGAAATCAAATAGCAGAATGTAATCTGAGGGCATTACCTTTAATACCAATGAAATGATCTTTAATCCCACTCCATTAAGCCTGATGGAGAATGGAGATCAATTTGTTGATTGTTGTTTCTTTGCTTCTAAATCAGATTACAAGATATGAAATCTTATATCACTTCACCAGCTCGGTGTATGAAGAAATAAATTGTAGAATATTTTGGCAGATGCATCTTCCAAAAACAAAAATCCCAGTGCAAATGCAAATATATTGACATTTGATTCTCATATTTGATTTGATTCTGCTACATTTTTTTCCTAAGTGATAAAGTATATTATCCTAAGGCATTGTGCCTACAAGGTTTTGATATCACAGTCATTTTGACTGAATTTCCTCAAGGTGCCTTAGTTGCAACAATGTCTGCTTATCGTCTTAGATACACAGTTGTTGCAAAATGAAACAAGATGTTGATAACTTATCTGCCTATTTGTTTGTAGACCTCATATTAAATAAAAATCACACATCAACACAAATATGTTGAGATTAAAGGAGGTTTAAAATTCTCAATCCACACATCAGTTTGTCTTTTTGGGTTGTCTCCTGATGTATGTTTTCCAAATGTAAATTGTTGGTCATCGGTAAACATATTACATTGAAAACTCTATATATGGAACATTTTCCATTTAAATGAGGTCATGCCACACTGATTTAAAGAGATACTTCACCCCCAAATTAAAATGGTCATAATTTGCTCACCCTCATGTTGTTCCAAACCCTTATGATTTTGTTCATCTTTGAATCAAAAGGTAAAATATTTTGAATGAAATCTGATAGATTCCTGTCCCTCCATTGAAAGTTCATACAACCGAAAAAGTTCATAAAGACATCAGGAAAGAAACCCATATGAATCAAGCAGTTCAGTCCAACTTTTATGAAGAGACGCTATCACTTTATATGATGAATAGATTTAATTTAAGCGTCTATTTACTTAGAAACATTTATCAATGCACATAGAGCACATTGACTGAAAGTTGCTTGAACTTTCAGTGACGGGATAGAAATCTATAATTTCATTAAATATCTTCATTTGGGTTTCAAAGACGAACCAAAGTCTTATGAATTTGGAATGACATTAGGATGAGTAAATGATGATAGAATTTTAGTTTTTGAGTGAACTAACCATTTAAATGTCATCAAAATGTGTACAGTTACTCACAGAATGACATCAGCTTAATTTATAAAGCGTAGTAGTCTTATCACCACATTAGGTTAAGACTAAAACCTCTATAACTTAGAATGACAAAACAGGGATCAAAACTAGTGTAATGGAAACATGTTTTGTAGAGAGTACGCTAGTCATTAATCAGCACCAAGTGTAATTTCATACCTATGATACAGCGGGTTGGGAATGTTAAATGTCTTCCCCACAAAAGGTTTTGCTGTTTGCCAAATCGGTACTTTTACATAATCTCACAGCTGAATAAACCATTAGCTACTGTATGCATCTAGGTGTTTTACTTTCATAAAAATATTAAGACTGCATTTGCTTGTGTATTACAGCCTTCTGAAGTTGTTAATACTTTGTGTGGATACAAGGCCCTGGAGAAAGAGGTATGTGCCCTGATCACACCTCCTTGAATGAAGAAAGTTAACGTAGCTTATAAGTGCATTCTGATATAAGTGCTGTGTGTCCTGTGTCAATCCACCTGGTGTAAATACATTCATTTGGAGGGGTCAAAGGTCTGATCATCTGAGAAGAGCGATGAGAAACGCCTTTGAATTTTAACAGGCTGTGAGGATATGCAACACCTCAGATGAATGATGATCTGCCTTATAACTGCATCCAATTATCTCTCATTTTCAATCAATCACTTTATAACACTAGTTGTTAATGAGACATAAAGTGATGGCAGTTTTTTGACACTGCAATGTAATAACATTTCTATTGCCTGACCTTTGCCCGCAGAGGATAGAAAATATAGATTTGATCTACACCCGTGGTTGCACTAATGCCGTCTTCATTTGGTTCATGGACAACTGTAAAATCATGGCTGGACTTCTTCTGGGCATCTTAGTTCCTCAGGTAAGACTTGTGGTTGTCAGTGAAGAAGATTCAGATTGTCTGCATAAGACTTTTTAATAATACAAATTATCTACTTTACATAAAACATACATGCTCTTATCACTTTTAATTAAAAGTCTGTAAGCTTGCCAGCAACAAAAATGACATTTTTCTTTGGCTGTAAGAACCTTTCAAAGTGTTTGAGGAGTTCAAAATAAGAGTTGTGACAGCAATTAATGTAGTTTTAAATGGTTTTCACAAGGGTGTTGTGTGTGGGGGGGGTTTGTCTCACTCAGACATGCTTTTTTGCATTGAACGTCACAAAATCGGTAGTACCCCAGCACTCAGTTTTTCTTACTCATTCTTAGAAAAGAATGTGAACAAAATTCTATTCAATTTTCACTTTAGTAGGACGTTATTAGATTTAATTGTGTAAATGTGCTATATTTAAAGTTTGTAATACTACTACTAATTATTATTAGCATTATTAATACGTTATTATTCATATTCATATATTTACTTTGACAGAACTTTCCAAAACAAAAAAAGGCAATAATTTTTCTCCTCAAAAGACCAAGAATTTGATTTATGAGGATATTTCATCTAGTCTTTATTCAGGTTTCATCATTATCTGTGCCCACTCATAAATTCAGTGTAATTAAGAAACCTTTTATAAAGTATCCTCTCATTAAGTGTTTTCCACACTGATTAAGAGGTGGGTGGTGAGAGGCGTGGTTTGAATGAATTTCAATATTTCTCAAAAGAGTACCATGAGTAGACGGGTTTTCAACAAATTAGCAGTCTAGAAATCCGATTCACTTTCAAAAGCAGCCTCTAATGTGCAGCTGTTTCTGTGTGTCCCCCCACTTTAACCAGTGTTAAAGAGGTGCCTTGATGCCCTGAAAAACACCACAGCACAGTCCCAGATGTAGATTATCATAATCACATAAATTCTGAATCCTTTTTGTAGTAATTTAAATAATGCTGCACCTTTGATAATAACCCACCAGCACAGAAAGCACATGCACACCAAATGTAATTTAAGTCTTTCTTATAAAGGCTCTGGATGGTCTGCTGGACGGCGGAACCCAGGAGACCAAGTACCAAAGCAAGTGGGCCAAATGCTGCAAATGCATGCCTTTAACTGACTGAGTGCAAACTCATAAAAAAAAAAGGATTTATACAGATACTATCATGTGCTGTGGGTGAAATGAACTGTTTGTAGCTCTGCAAAACTCAACCGTGCTGTTACTTTTGTAATATCAGCCACAGACACATTGATGCAAGCAATTTTTGTAGTGTCAATATCATTTTCGCAGTTACTCCCAGGATTCATTATTTCATCTGTCAGCTGAAAATGGGTAGTTTTTTGTATCAAAATTTAATGATACTAGGACTGACCTTCTGTCTCAGGACTAAATCAGATCTGAAGCAGTGCACTAAAGATGCGTCATGTTGACAGTCAGAATGCCTTTAGATTTAACACAGCTTAGTTGTGTTTAACAGGGAAACTGTTTTGAAAATTAGCACCCTGTCAGTCTCAGGTAATGCAAGTCAAGGTTTCTTTTTTCCAGTGCAAACAGTGCTTCACATAAGTGAACTTCTACCATTAAAGTCTACAAAAACAGCAGCTACATCGATCATAATAAGAGTGCTGTTTCCTTTGTACATTGTGTCTAAGATGAGTAATAGTATAAATCCTGACTATAAAACATTTCCACATTTAAAAGCTGTGTAAATCCAATCCTTTAGTTCACCATATTTGCTGTAAAACTTTTTTTATTTTATAATTGTTTTACTTCAGATTGAGTCTTTACCTGAAATGGGTTGTTCCTCTTAATTTTTAATAAAATACAGCTAAAATACATACTTATTATGAGCTGATTATTTTGTAATCTGGGGATTTGAATGTCCATCGTTTACATGTTGTGCTTCTCGTGATATTTTTATTTTGTCTAGATTCTTTTTCAGACGCAACATATTTCTGTCAGAGCTGCATGTGTATGTCTTACTGTATATATCTTTGTCAAAAGTGTTTTTTTGCCAAATGGTGATGGTTTTTATATTCTCCTCTATTCTGTTGTCTGCTGTGTCTTTTTAAGCATGAAAATATCTTGACCTGTTTTTATAATAAATACATAAGATGGATGTTTCTTGTCATCAAATGACAAGAGAATCATCTGATGGCATATTTATTTAAATGCACCAAATATTGCATTCACATTCACATTTTTCAGTGAAAGATAATTGCAAACAAGCAGGTTGAAGTGAATAATGATATTAAGCCTTAACATTTTTCTGTTCTTTTTTTAATGTGATTTCAATGACTATATCTTGACCTGACTGTTAAAGCTTGAGTATTGCCCTGAACACAGTGAGTGTCCTGCCGAATGAATGAATAAATGATGTTTACAGAGCTGTGTTCTGCTGCTTCAGTGGATCTTCTTGTCTGTTCTCTGTCATGCTGGTTGTTGTGTTTGCAGGGGGACTGCAGCACTCTCAATATTGCACTTTAGACATGGTCTGCTATGGTCAATATGTGGCAGTCTGTGTTTTACCGACTTATTTGTTCCATTTCCTTTATCTCTTTTAAAACAGTAAACAAATACAGTCACTGTTTTTATAATAACAAGTTCCACAGGTTTTGATAAAGTATGTTGGACGTTCTCAATGCTTGTGATTGGGCATCCTTTCTGTTTCATAACTTTTACATGTATGAAAAGGAGGATCAGTTTGGTCTTTAAAACATTTTCTGTACCTATAAATATGATCATAAAATATGATCATGTATAAAGAAATATCAAGTATTATAGCTCCTATTCATATATTGAGTTAGATTACAGCTTCCTCAGTAATTTCTCCCCATTTTGCCTAATAGGTTAGAACATCAAGCCGAGCTCTGTACCAGATTTACCATAAAAAGTTTTTTTAAATAAATGTTTCTGAATGTCAAAATAGGAAGAAATCAAATGGGTTCTTGCAGTCATCTCAACACGGCATCTTCTAAAATGTGCCTCTTGATTTTTGGTTTGTCAAAAGAAGGAGGAGTGATGATGACCACTGCCGTTGCTGCAATCACAAACCATTGTAGGAGAAGTTCTGATCTGATCACTGTGAGGAGGTACGTTAAAATCAGTCCCACTTGCTTACATTTCATCAAAGAAACGTGCATTTTTGATAGGCTGCTTCTATTGCATGTGAATGAAACTTTAAGTTCTCCTGTGGAGTGAAAAGAGGCTTTTAGGAAAGGTAGTGAAAAAGTCTTGACTGCAGCCTGGGACTCAAAGGTTCATATTTCTTTTATAGTAAGGGTGAAAGAGAATTTCATAGAAAATTCAACTTTTATGAAGTCCAGTGTCATCCAGCAGGTAAGTGACCTCCATTCAGAGAAGGCATAAAAGGAATGTAAGTTTGTCATGCGTAATTTACTAGAATTTATAGCGCAATCTTTGTACACTGAAATGCAAAATATGAATCATTGTGACATTATTATTGTTTTTTTTATTATATATTTTTTGTTTTTATATTATTTCATTTTCCCCCTAATTTTTTTCCCTTTCTTCTCACACACAATTGGAAGATGATGTAATTTACTAGAATTTATAGCGCAATCTTTGTACACTGAAATGCAAAATATGAATCATTGTGACCTTATTATTATTGTTTTTTTTATTATATATTTTTTGTTTTTATATTATTTCATTTTCCCCCTAATTTTTTTCCCTTTCTTCTCACACACAATTGGAAGATGATGGCAGAAACATGGCCAGGTCATTTATGTGCCAGTAAAATTTCACAAAGTGTCCCTTTTTAAAAAGAACCTCATTTCATTTAGGAGAGTCTGAACACATCCTTAGAGGAAACCTAAAATCATCGACTCTATATGCAGTTGCTGGGATTTATTGGGTTTTTGTGTTTGTTTTTCATAGGGTGTGCTATGCATTTAGAGAGTGCTTCATGCTTATAAAAAAAAATAAAATCATGACCTCTTCTTACATCTTTGTGTCTGTGGGCTCATGGGAATGTTTGTAGGAGGAATGTCAACCCATCATCCAAATTCACATCATCCTTATTAGATTGAAGACAGCTTCTTATTGACTAGGAGCTCATCCATCCTTAGCGCTCCCCTGCTGTTTAATAGTATATAATTAAGCTTCCTCTCCAGGCTAGAGGAAATATGAATCAACCCCCCTGAGCTTAATGGCACTACCTCTACAAATCAAGCAGTCATTTGCCTACGAGTCCTGTGAGGTGTTGTATGTATATGATTGGCAGTCTTTAGTGGAGACTGTAACAACGTGGGACCTTCTAAATGTGACCACAAACTACCTGTCATTTTCATTAGGTCAGAAAATTGTGCCCTTTCATGCTGTGCCCTAGGAAGTCCAATAGCAAGCCATATATACTTGTTTTTGTTTCAGGAACACTTGAAGAAGTAGGCCTTACCTGTTCAAATGTAACAGTGTGGCAGCATTTGCTGATAATCCAACTCCAGAGGTTAGAGGAATAGTGAATGATATTGCAAGACAGGTCTGCTAACCCTAAAGTTGTTTGTGAACATTAGCTATCCCTAGTGAAAAAAAAAAATGCTAAGTATACTTGCAGCCAGACTAATTGTCAGTATACTTTAAGTGTGTTAATAATTAGTTAACTTGAAGTGTGCTATTTTGGAACAACTAATTTTGTACTAAGTATATTTTAATTGTAATTAAATTGTAGTAAAGCATAACTTTAAGTGTATTTAGTGTACTTTTATGTGCTAAATTGGAACAACTTCAAGTACACGTAGTACACTTTAAGTATATGCCTATTTACATGCTTGATTAGTGATATTAAAGTGTACTTTTTTTTGTATTACGAGTACATTACAAATTAATTATGAGTGTCTTTGAAACACACAAGCAATATACTATAAATGTATTATTTTTGAGTAAAAATATGCTAATTTTTCCCCAATGCTGAATCCACTTTTTAAGGTCATTACAATAAATACATAACTTCAATGACAGACAGAGACACATTATTAACAATTCAAACAGTGTTTATTTAAAATGTACTTTGAAAGTATACTTTCAATGCATTGTTACAATGATCATTTTCAGCACACAGTTAAAAAATATTCATAAAATATATTTAAGTAAAGTGCAAATAAATATACTTATAAAAAATAAACAGAACATTCAATTCAAGTATATTTTTGTAAAATAAATTTTTTAGAAAATATACTAAATTACAATTGTTTTAAAGTGTGTTAAAAGTTGTGAAAATAGACAAATGCATGATACTAATATACTTTTTATATATTTAAAGATAGTACATTTTTTGTTAGTATATTTGCAATGTACTATTAAAACAGGTAATATATTACAAATACAATAAAGTATACTTTTTTTTCACTAGAGATTGTTTAGATTTTTTCACTTTTTTTACCGTAATATTACTTAACATCCAGTGAGTTCATTATTGGACAAAAAGACAAAGGTACAAGACTGTGTAGGCTACCTAATGACTTTAAGAGTTAGGCTACAATATTGCGAATGACAATAGAGCTATGACGTCACTTTGTAGGCTGATCGGCTGTTAGCATCACACTGGTTCCCTTGACGAAAAGCCAATAGGATTTTTCCATAGGCTTATGGAAACACAACACACAGTGCAGTGGTTCAGAAAGATATCAAGAAGCATTTCTGACCTCATTAAGTAAGAATATAAATTGTAATTGAAACTAGATTTTTACATTTCGGAAGAAAACGGTGAAAAGAAAAGCAGAAAAGAGATGTTTGTGCATGAAAAACCTGTGATCACAATGCTAGAATGTTAGAGTGGTTGCCAGAGCATTGCTATTCTGTTGCTAAGATGTTCTAAATGGTTGCTAGGGTGTTCACTGGTCCAAATCAAAGAAGCCCAAATTTAAGATAATTTAGAGGCTATTTATTATCTGTCAGTTAAAGTTAAACAATACAGAAGAAAAGACTAGTTGCTATTTCCATTTCATCATCACTTTAATAATTGTATGAAGGCATACAAAAGTAGTAGTTGTTCTTAATGAATAAGGCACAAAATTAGAGCACAAACAATGCTGGATAAGTTCCATAACAAAGTACTTAGGGTCAGGGTTTCTGAAAATGTAAGATTAATAATATTGTAAATAGTCCAATAATATGTTTTTGCCTTAGAAAGCACCATTAATTGCAGAGCGGAATCTTGTTTCCTCACATTTCCTTATTTTTTCCCTGCATGTATGAATTAAAGATCTTTGCAATGGATCTTTATGATCATACATTTGAATTACAGTGTCTGAAGACCAAAAGACAATATGTATTACGATGCCAGCCCACGTTCTCCAGCAGGAGGTCTTTATTTATTTAATAAGCTGAGGTCTTGAGGTCTAATTAAATAGACGAGATCATAATTACCTCCTTGGGCTCAGTTAATAATGACGTAGAAGATGACTGTAGGTCTTGCTGTCTACAGCCCTCACTGATCTAAACGAGGCTTTCTTGGACTCATTTATCATGTCCTTTGGCAGATGAATTAAAGTATTACTCAATATCAGTATCTGCGCACACACAAATCCTTTTGAGATATAAATTTCAGGCCATGGTCATAATAACTGATGTCTAAGATCAAAAATCATCACTGTGCTGTCTTGAGTTCTGAACACACAATAAAATGTCAGTACTATAAGTTAACTGACCTTCCCTTTCCCTATGGTTATAAATGTTACACCAGCCTGTCATCATGTCATGTTGTGCACAGAAACTATGAATATTAAACAACAAGAACATCTTTAAACTTTGACTATTTCACAGGAGCTTCAC